CAAAATTGCTTTGAAGGTTAGGGCTGTGGAACAAAAAGTTAAGAAGAACTGGCTTTTTATTTCAAGGTTATCTAGTGAGGTTACAACTGATGAAGTTGTAGCCTACCTAAACGATAGCGGCATTAATGGTGAGTGTGTTAAACTTAAAACTAAGCATCATTCCTATAGCTCTTTCAAACTTGGTGTGACTCCTTCAGAGTTTCCCAAACTGCTTGACTCAAATTTCTGGCCTGTCGGTACTTTAGTTAAGGAGTTCATGTTTAAACCGCGACTCGACAGCAGTTTTGTTCCTTCCCGTGTTTTTTTAGGGAAGATGAACTAACTAAAGAGACTGTGTTATCATCCTCTAGAAAACTTTCAAATTTTTGCACTGTAAATATTCAAAGCCTAAGAAGTAAAATAGCCTTACTTGAGAACTTGTGTGATGAGAACGGTATTGATGTGCTCTGCATTCAGGAACATTGGATGGTTCATGAGGAAATAGGTCTCTATAATACTATTTCCAATCTAAACCTGGTAGCCTACTTCTGCCGCTCCCGTCCCTGGGGTGGTGTAGCTCTATATGTTAACAATAAACTCAACTGTAAACCTCTTGATCTGGAAAAATTCTCTGTAGAAATGCATGGGGAATTTGCTGGTGTGGTGATTAATAAACTCTCAACTGTTGTAGTTACCATGTATAGATCACCAAGTGGCAATGTGGTCACTTTTTTTAACTTATTAGAACTGTGTCTCGAATATCTTCTGACATTAGGTCTATTTGTGATTATTGGCACAGACCATAACATAAACTTGTTAAGACATTCAAGCGAGGTCACCGATTTTTTAAATTTACTCCGTAGTTATAACCTCTACTGTACCATAATTGAACCTACAAGAGAGAAAGCTTCGTTGGATACATTTATCTCTAATTTTGATCGCTGGAACTACAAAGCAGCTGTCAGCCGGGAACAGATTGCAGATCACCAGCATGTCTTCCTTTCCATTGAAACTGAATCCAGTGGTACTATTGCTGAAAACAGACTATTAGACACCAATTCTAGCCCTGAGGTTAGTTTTAGAGTATTCAACCCCTCTAATGTCCAGTATTTCAATGATATGGTATCAACGCATATTGACTTATGGTGCGAGACTTTGCCCTACCTTACTGCTAATGAGGCCTTTCATTGTTTATTTGACAACATAAAACATGCCTTTGACTTGTGCATTCCTCTTAAGAAGAAAACTTCTCAAGCAGGTGTTGTAAATAGCAATAGAAAAACACACTCCTCTGACTGGTTTGGTCCTGAACTATCTAGGTTAAGGAATTTTGTTATATTTGTAAGTGATCTGTCAAAGAACAACCCTACTCTAATTCCTTATTTAAAGAATTTAAGAACAAATTACAAAACAAAAGTAAAAGAGGCTAAGCAGGCTTCAGTGGCTGCTTCTATCTCCAATGCAGCAAATCCTTGTAAAGCAGCTTGGGATTTTATTAAAGCCACCAAATCAAAGCCCACTGTCAGTAGCAAAACCTTTGCCCAAGCTGAAGAATTTAATCAATATTTTGTAAATTCTGTAGAGGAACTCATAGGGGGTTGTAGCACATCCCTAACACCAAGTACTAGTACCGATAATGTAGAAAATAGTCTTAAATCAGTCCCAATTGTACCTTTTAACTTTTCTTGGAGGCCTGTGACGCCAACTGCTATCATTAACATTGTGCATAGCTTTAAACTGTCAAAGAGTAAAGATTGTTTTGACATGACGATTGAACTGCTTAAGGGTATAATTAATGTAATTGCTTCTCCCATGGCTACCATCATAAACACCTGTTTGTATGAGGGGGTATTTCCTGACGCCTTGAAAATCTCCAGAGTGGTACCAGTTTTTAAAAAGGGATCTCATGATAACTTGTCTAGTTATAGACCTATAGCTATAATTCCCATTCTGGCAAAGGTGTTTGAGGCTGTTATGCTGGAACAACTGTATGAGTACTTTGAAGTGCATCACCTGCTTGTGCCTGAACAGTACGGCTTTAGGAAGGGCAGATCCACTGTTTCGGCAGTGGACTCCCTTCTTCAGGTAGTGCTTGATTGCTTTGAAACCAAACAAAACACTTCTGTCTTGCTCTGTGATCTTTCACGAGCTTTTGACTGTGTCTCTCACCAAATTCTTCTTATGAAACTTGAAAGATATGGCCTGCAGAGTGGTGCACTCGACGTACTCAGATCTTACCTTAGCAATAGACAGCAGATAGTATGTTGGAATGGTAGAAATTCCACCCCTTTGGCAGTAAATCATGGTGTCCCTCAGGGCTCCATATTGGGCCCTTTCTTGTTTTTGGTGGCCATTAATGACCTCTACTATGAAGTGTCAGGTAACGTTATTATTTATGCAGATGACACTACCTTGTTTGCCAAAGATCCTGACTTGAAGCTCTCAAAAACCAAAGTTGAGGGTTTTCTTTCTACTGCTACTGCCTGGTTCAATGTTAACAAACTGATCCTCAATGAATCCAAGACTCAGGCAATCACCTTTAGCTTGGGAAAGTCTGCTGAGTGCACTGACCATGTAAAGCTGCTGGGCTTTACTCTGGACCCTCACCTTGACTGGGGAGATCATATTGAGTCGCTGTGCTGTAGGCTTAACAGGGTTATATTTTTATTGAGAAGACTGAGTTCTTACCTGCCAAAAGATTTTATACGTGTTGCTTACTTTGCTTTTTTTCACTCTATTATTGTCTACGGAACGAGACTCTGGGGTCACTCGCCTAAAGTCAACAAAATTCTGGTTCTGCAAAAGAAAGCGATGAGGGTACTTAGTGGAGCCCAGGATCTCGCGCACTCCAAACCACTGTTTCTCCAAAACAAAGTCATGACTGTATATAATGTATATATTTTTCAATGTCTCCTAGAAATTAAGTCCAATGAAATATACCTACCTAGAAATCAGCATGTACATAGCCATAACACTAGAAATAGGTTTGATATTTTCACTGTAAGGCACAGACTGAGTAAATCAATTAATTGTTTTCCTGTTACAGGTTGCAAGTATTTTAACCATCTGCCTCTTGAAGTGAGGCGTTTGCCTTTCCAAAAATTCAAAGCCTTTCTAAATAATTGGCTCCTAGAAACACCTTTATTTGACTCTAGTGAGTTTCTTAAGACAGAGGTCCACCTGTAATTAGGTAATGCATGGTGTGTGCTTTTTTTTAACTGCTTTTTGATTTTATTTTCTCCAAATGTGCATGGTTTTAATCTGATTTATTTAACTTTTTATTTTGTATGCTATTTGACTTAAACTAAGCATGGTTTGATTTGATTGTTAACCAATCTCTGATGATGGTTTATTTTTATTTACTGAATTATGTATTGACATAGCCTATTATGTAATGTTTAATGGCCAAATAAACAATTTGAATTTGAATTTGAATTTGAATTTGAATTTGAATTTGAATTATTTGAATTTGAAAGAACACCTTCAGTTATGGCAAGGAGATGTGACATCCAACCATACCGTAACTGAAACCTCAGAGTATTTTTAGAGTCCGAAGTGCGGCGAACGCAGATGGAACACATCATTATGGTAATTTATCAGTATAATCATTTACTCACCTTTTAACCATTCCTAATAGCATCCCATCGTAATAAGTAATTAATACAATTACTAATAACTTTTAATTTATTCCAGCTTGAGCCTGCACTTCTGATGAATAATGACTCCCACTTCACAAATACAAGAGGAGATATCCTCATATATTTAGCCAGAACGGCTCGAGTGTAGGAGTTTTGCCAACGGGTATCAGGTAGAAAGGGTCTTCATCCATGAATTCCACATACTGCGGAGTTTTGCCAACGGTTGTGGGTTGAGCGAGAGCGATTACACGTGACCGTGAGAGTGGCTTCCGCTAGGGGTGGACAAACCAGGCAGGATGCTGACTGTATTCAAAGAAATGGAGTTATGCATCTCTGACTGTGAAAGGAAATGTATTGAATTTTTAACCTAACCTAACCTAACCTAACCTAACCTAACCTAACCTAACCTAACCTAACCTAACCCACTGCGACAAGCGCATAACTGCCAAGCGTAGACAACCCTGACAATCGCTCTCCCTCCCTCCGTCACACTCTTTCTCCCACCACCACCGTTGGCAAATCTCCGCACCAAGAGGTGGCCGAAGGCATCCCCCCCATCTACCTGACACCCGTTGGCAAAACTCCGGTTCCCGAACGGCTCCACTGCCTCCAATCGGCTATCATCAGATAACCTATGTAAGTAAATATAACTAGCTATTATACATTTTCACTGTAAGTATATAATAGATTGTTGGTTTATCTTTTTTTTTCCTTTTACAGTCAGAGGCAGCAGACCGTTTTGTCCAAATATTAAGATCTGTGAGTGGGGGTCATTTAACCATAGAATTCAGCAGCACCTATGAAGATTACTACAGAAGGCCACGTGATCCATTTTGGATACTCATCACACATGAGGTAAGACTAGTATCAATGTTCACTATTAAATAGTACAGTAGTATGATTTAGTACCATGTAAAATATTTATTGCATAATTTACATCATTTTGTTTTTCAGAATAACGGCAGAATTCCTGAAGGAACACGCTGGTTGTATTACAATTCGACCGGCGAAGGGTCCTACATTTCCCATGTATTTAGAGGGACCCCCGGACTTCTAAGTCGGATCGAAGAACAACACAATCAGCACCTGATGGATGCCGTTTCAGGCCTTCGACCAGTACCTTCTGAACCTGTTGCTGGACCATCCAGAAGGATAAATCCCACGGTAAGAATAATATAAGTTTAGAATAAATCTTTAGCATCTATAATATATGTATATTAGAATATTGATATATTTTACATTTTTTAGCCCGTGGATGACTTCGACCCGTCACAGGCACAGGGGAACGAGCTTCTCTCTGACGAAGTACTACCATCTTCACCTCGTAGTCCTTCGCCAGAGACCTCTTCATCCCATGCACTGCTAGAGCCCCATCCTCTCTGCCGGAGCTGCCAACGGGAAGAAAGAATCCTACGTCAAAGAATGGAGTTTTTTCTAAGGGTGGGTTTTCATCGCCTAATTTTATTTCTCTTACCCAACCATAACTAGAGACATCAACAGAAAAATAAAACTTGATTTGTTTTCAGGATATCGATGCCGACAGTGGTGACAGAGCTTCGTGGAGAGCTATCGGCCACCTCAACACCACTAGGACAGAACTAAGGGAGGTGTTGACATTGGCAGATTCTGCAATTGGAATGGCCAGCCGAGCAGAGATGGCAGAAGTTGCTCCAGTCATCTGGAACGAGATCCGGACGTCCTTGGAGCGGATCCTCGTGATGACAGGACAACAGATGGACGATAACATCATTCGAGGTCAAGAAACCCCAACCGAACCTCAACGGACCATCACCTGCCAGATCTGTCAGGATGCTCTCCCGACGATTGTGATTCAGCCTTGTCACCATACCCTTTGTCCGGCATGCGCTATTCGATTATACGTTTGCCCGTTCTGTCGAAAGACAGTAACGGGCAGAAAGAGACTCTATTATGACGGATGAGTTCAATTACTAAAACATAGAGTAAACTTTAAATCAAATTTTATTATCTTTTCTCATACCATATATTCCATTAATCACAATTTTACATTTTTTAGATTTATAATTTTATGTTTATCAAAATAGATCTAGTAAAATAAAAGATATATTGATAAATTTCGACTATTCAATTAACCTACCATTCCCTAGCCTATAAGTAGAGATTTATAACCAATCAGGGACGAACTTATTTTCAACCAATCAGAGAACGCCTAATTCAAATATTTTTATCCGTTAATTTCAATACCACAGTCACTTATTTATAACCAATCAGGAACGAGCTTATTTTCAACCAATCAGAGAACGCCTAATTCAAATATTTTTATCCGTTAATTTCAATACCACAGTCACTTATTTATAACCAATCAGGAACGAGCTTATTTTCAACCAATCAGAGAACGCCTAATTCAAATATTTTTATCCGTCAATTTCAATACCACAGTCACTTATTTATAACCAATCAGGAACGAGCTTATTTTCAACCAATCAGAGAACACCTGATTCAAATATTTTTTCCATTAATTTCAATACCATAAAAGATAATCCATAAATCATAGAGGAACACCAAAGAAGTAATTAAATATTATAATTATTAAATTTATATTAACATAAGAGTACACAGTCTTCAACCCCTCCAAAAACAACAACCCCACCCCCAACTCCAACACCCACCCCCAACACTAAATCCACCCCTTAAACCACCCCCTACTCTAAAACCACCCCTAAAACCACCCCTAATCCAAAAAACCACCCCTAAATCAACCCCTTCAATCCACCCCTAGGCAACACGCAACACACCAAAACTACCCCTGCTAGATCGGGGCGACTTCTACTGTGATAGATATTATGGAACCCAGTGACATACCCAGCATTCTAACATAATATTATCTTCATATTTATGATAACACAATATCCAATGTTATTGCAAGTGACGTAATTTAAAATGATGTGATGTGAAGAACTGACACAATACTGATGTAAAAGATATTTTTTCACAAGAATTGTTTTAGAATGCACTCAATTCGTTTCCTTGTTTATTTTGATAATATAATTGATGAGGGGCTTACCCGATGATATGTTTGTATTACCTCGGAACCTTTCCTTATGAACTTCCTTAAGGTTATCAATAAAAACCCTGATTCATCTCATACAACAACTTGGTATCCTAGTACAGTAGTGAAAATTAACTCAACTATCGCACAACCTAGCACTTAGATTGGTTTTTTACAAATGATACTTTTCAACCGATGTACAAATAAAACATAACGAAAGCTGCATTCCAAAAAGTTGCGTAAAATGTTCAACTGTATACAATCCTTTTTATTGCAATCAATTTAATTGAAAAATATACATCGTTTGCTTGGGAGAAAATACTTGCTAAAATAAAATTGGACAAATGTCTTGAAAATTGCGACTCAACATTTATACGTAAAGAATTACCCTGTGTAATAGAAGTAAATTTCATTGCTACTGACCCAACCGTTAGTTTGATAATGTATTCAAATAATAGAATTTGAATAAAAAACTATGATTAATTTCAAGTCAAGTTTGAGTTATATCAATTAGGGATATCAAAGTGTATTCTTTTGCAGTCATTCCCATTGTTGCTTACAGTATGAGTATAACGTTATCTCAAGCATGTATTGCATTGCCAATACACTCAGTGGTGAGGGGAACTACTCTTGGGAGTGTGGGTACCTTTTGGCAATTAGTTAAGTGAACCTACGGTACAGACAGGGTTAGAGACTAAGCTAATTGAATCCCCGTAGATGCAACATACTCAACCAAAACTACAGAACGCAAATATAATTTGCCCTTTAAAACAAAGCAGTTTACTTTTAGGAAGCTAGCATTACGTGGGTGTATACTACGCAAATATTGACAAAAATACTGATTAATTTCACATGAATGAATTGACTACCGGTATTTAATAGGACTTATATCTTGTTTTTGGACAAGAAAAACAAACTTAATAGTGTCAAAATAGTTGTGTCTGCAAAGTTAAATGCCTTGTATATTTTATTTCGGATTGATTTTGGTTGATCATTGCAGTACCTAAATTCAATGTTAATTTGTATAACGAATAGGAATGGCAGATAATATACAACAAGTAAATAGTTAGTTCAGAACAGTGATTAGGAAAACCTATTATAGGATCAAAGTTTTTTGGTTTTAATGAAATCCGAAACACAAAAAGAGAATACAGTTTTTAAACATATTTTTTAAGGAATAATAGTATTGTCATGAACAGAACTAGATGACAATTAACAACAAACAGCGTATTAGAGAGTGTGACGTCATCACAAAGGCTGACATATCACTTGTCTACGTCTTCAAATGCCAACTTGTTAAGGAGTGGTGAATGCACTTTACTACAGTAGTGTGATTTCACAAATATAATAAGAGACATCTATTCTATATATATAATACGCTAAGCCGATTTTTGTAAACAGAACTCCTCCCTCATTTTTGGACCGATTTTGATGACTAAAGTGTCAAATGAATTGCCCTGATCTGTAGTTTTGCAAAGTCTTTTTCGTTTTTTTGAAATCTTTATTAGTTTGGACAGGATATTCCATCAAAGTTGGATTTTCTCCTATAAGATTAACATGGGGGAATCTAAATATTTAATTGGAAACTTTGTCTCCATTGATTTGAGAGAACGACTGGACGTAGAAACTTGGTAGAGGTGTCCAAAGAAAGGTCTTGGTCTCTAGATGAGTTACCAAAAGAAAAACTAAGTGAATCCTGTTAGGGCTCTGCCCCAGAAGCCCTTAAAGATCCCTCCACAGATTTGTTTACATTTTGTCCATGTGGATAATACTTTTTACTGAAACAGCTGTTAATTTTTGAATTGTATTTTAAACAACACATATTTATTGGGAGTTACTGAATTGTCCAAAAGAAGTATTTGCAATGTTATTTTCTGATTTTAAAATTGATTTCCTTCTGTATCATGTCATATTTTGCAATATAACGTTCCATTACGAAATCAGTAGAAAATCCTTTTATCACAGTAACTCTCATTTAACATTAATTTCTTATTGAACTATCTTATATCTATTGTACGGGTTGGTATCTGCCTTTTTCACCACTTTTGGCTATATTTTATCATATTATTCTAGACAGATCATCATAGGTTCGTGAGATTATTGTCATACATGTTTTCAATCATTGGAAAAATCTTCGATTGTGTAATACAATACAAAATAATACAAGTGCAGAAGTGTCTTTTAGCTTTAACATTAAACCCACAACCGATTTCTCAAAACTATACTAGAGGGTAATTCATTGGCACAGAAGTACGATATGAACTGATGCGACGTGTCGAAGGAAAAATCAAACTTACACTGTGAGGACCTCCCTTTCAAGTTAGAACGTGTCTCCTCAACAAGCAGATATTTTCTCTCAAATAAAATCATAGATTAATCCTTATTACACTGATGAAATCGGGGAAGTTTTTAACTAAGAAAGATCCACCAATACGATTTTAATACTGTTTAAAGGTTCTTCCAAAGTATGGGAAATATTTTATTCGTTGAATGATCAACCATATTTGGTAACTAACGCAATTAATATCATTATTGTTTTTACACTTATTTACTCTTTAAACAATGTTAAATGCTCAAAATATGTATAATTTTACTCAATTTATCGCAGTTAGATGAATTAGCGTAAGCCTTGAAAGTAACCGTCGATTTCGACGGGTTTCACCTAGTATATAATATTAATATTTTAAATACATTAAAAATACGTTATAAATAAATACTACAAAATGTTCGTAGTATTTCTCTATGGAGATGTTGGTTTTGTAATCTTTTGCTTGTAGTCTTTTGATTTAAATCGTTTGTAAACATAAAATTTTATTTCAGTAACAGATTAATTATATCTTACATGAATGTAAGCAGGTATAAAACGTGATGGTAAATTATTCTTATGATTTAATAAAATTAATAGCTTAATTGTTGTAATTTTTTACATTTACAATTTTTAAGCACGAACATTTTTTTGTTTTTTTTAGATGATACAACCACAAAAATAAAATTCCACTATTTCATAATCGTCAAAAGACGAGATTTCAAAATTATTCAGAAAAATTGTATATGCAAAGTTTAATTGTATTTCACTACCTCAAGACCGCCGGTTTGTACATAAAAAAATAGTTATAGCTAATCAATGGTATACTTTTTTGTTTGTTAATTTCAAAACTATTAATTGTGAGCCTGACTGGTATGTGTTGAACAGTGTTGGTTCAGTACAGTTGGTCTATTTACCTAAGTGGGCCAGTGCAAGACCTTGGAAGAAATCTCACTTACCAAGGTTGCAGGGAAGGGTTTTATTTATTGCAAACGGCGATACATCAATACAAAAGTATTAAAAATATGATAGAGTTGAAAAGAATGTCCAGTTTCACAGTTTGATTTATATCAACTGTTTTTCTTTGGTTAACACATTTGCTAGAAAATTAATTTTTAACACAACCTTTTCTAATTGTTCTTAACACAAACCAAATGTGTGACCGTGGTTGTGTGTAGTTGTTGTATGGGTGCAATAATAGGGGTAAAATATATAATAAACACTTAATTAGCTACGATTTGGGAGATTTTTAAGTATACTACAAAAACCTACTATTCCAATGGTTTCAAACATACCTCACAAAGATATTGGAAGATGAATCAATAATTTATTATGTTACGTATAAAAAACGAATGGCTAAAATTAATATGTGTAGGTTTAAGGTTTCCAATTTTGATACTACCATCAGTAAAATGTCATAAGTGAATCAGTCACTTTGAAGAAGGTCCACAGATGCTGCAATCTTTCATCTCGGTCTCATGAGATCCTACACAATAGACTGAATAGACGTCTTCCAATCCTACGGTACATGATGTATATTGTTAATCTGGCAATATATTTAAAACCCCTTTAGTTGAAACCTCGTACTTGTAGAATGATAGAACTTA